TATATATATATATATATATATTCTCTTCTTCTTCACTAATGCTTTCTCTTCTTCTTTGTGTTTAGGGTTTCTTCTTCTTCTTAGTCGCAAAAAATGGGTTTATCAAATTTGAGCTCATTTGGAGTAGGTTTGGATGTTGAATAGTGTGTTGGATTATTGAAATTCGAAGAACAAATTTATGTTTCAGAACTTCAGATCTTGAATCTTACTTTGAATATGATGTTGCATTGAAAAATCGAATTACTTAAGGTTCGAATTTTTGAAGTTACAATTGAAAAATAGAAGTACTTCAGATTCGAAATCTGAAGTTGCTTTGAAGAGCTTGGACCATTGAACTACTTCAAATTTGAGCGGGTACACTTTACAAAGTTTTGTGCGATGCATGTATAACTTTGATGGTGGTCCAAAAAATAAGTATATATGAAAATGCCCAGGATTTTTTCCTAACTATACCATATATGAAACCTTATTACCAAAAATGTGCATAATTTGTTAATTACCTGCCTAGTCCACACTTTAACTACAATTTATATACCAATCCATAATTAGGCAGATTCTGCCATTTAAAACGCGCGAAAAAAAGGCACAAAATCTGCGTTTGATTCTTTCCACATTAAATTCGAAATTTGAAACGGAAAGAGATCTGATTGCTGCGTAATTCTCTCTTTCACTACAATTCAAAAACAACGCAGAACTTCAGAAGCTTCAACAACGCAATACAAATTGTAGAATTCAAAATTGTTCTTCATCGTCCTCGGTACTCAAATTGTCGAACCTATATCTGTTCTTCATCTTTTTTCTCTCAACTACACGAAATCATGTCAAAAATCCCAATAATGCTAAAATTGAATGGGAATTGGGATAACTATGGCAGATTTAGAGATTTTGAAGTTGATGCCATTGTGGTAGATGAGAATGCAGGTTTGTGTAGTTCGAAAATGCTTAGAATTTTAGTTTTATGATATTATCTACAAATTTACTACATATATCTACAATTTGACTACAAGTTCTTTATTTGGTGCAGGAAAAAAATATTTTAATATACAGTGTCTCCAGATTGTAGATAAATTGTAGGCAAATTGTAGTTTACTTGTAGTTTGTAGTTAATTTGTAGATAAATTGTAGATAAAATGTAGATATATTGTAGATACTATATTTTTAATATTGTAATTTTTTTTTCTTTGTGTTTGTTCTGAAAATGTAGGTGAGGGCTTCAACAAATCATATACATACTGTGTTGGATGGTGTAAAACGGTACATTGTGTGTATAGAAAATAAGAAATGTAGTTGTGGCCAATTCCAACTTGAAGAACTTCCATGTGTAAATTGTTTCCAGATTGTAGTTATAATGTAGGTTAAATGTAGTTAATTTGTAGTTTTTGTAAAATTTTGTAGACAATTTGCAGATTAATTGTGGATAACACATTTCTACGATTGGAGTATTTATTTCTTATTTTTTGTTGTGTAATTTATATTGAACTGACAGTTATATACAAATATTACATAGAACTTGGAGGTAAACATCTAAAAATTATGATAAAAAGCTACAAAATTTATATACAATAACTACATTGAGTCTTCACACAATGTAGATAGTTTGAAGATTATTGGCGAGGGAGATTTACGTCAAGGATTAAGGCGAGAGAGATGCAAGCAGAAAATTGGCGAGGGGGAGGGAAGCTGGAGGCAAAGTCGGCGACGATCTGATCGAAGGGCCGATGATCCCCGGCTTTGAGCAACGTCAACACCATGTTCGATTCTTCTTTTCCTAACATCCTCTTGTTTCTCTCTCACTGGGAGTCGCACACACTGAAGTCTCTACTCGACGTTCTCTTCTTTAATCTTTGCAAGGAAAGAGATGAAAGGAAAGAGAAAGTGGGAAGATACAGTCCTATAATTATGCCTAATATAAATGAACCCTTAATTATATCCCTAATTTGAATTATGGTATAAAAATGGTAATTTGGTATACTAAAATGTAATTAACTCAAACCTTAAACATTAAGGGTAATAAGGTTTCATATGTGGTATAGGAAGGTAAAAATCCCTAAATTAAATGCCTTTTGGGAGCTGCAATAATAGCGCAATAAAGAAGTCAGCCCATACTTTTGCAAGTGTGCTGCAAAGGCCTCTTATCGATGAGTTCATTACGGTGTGGATATTAGAAGAAGAGAAATTGAGAAATATAGACATGTCTTAGCAAATATTGGCTATCATTTAGCCAAAGTAGGATGGATCACGCTAATAACAGTAAATTGAGTTATTTTAGGCCATATGTTAGGCCAAAGTGTCCAAGTTTTCACTTTTGGGAGTGGCAAGCAAGGATGAGGCAGTTTTACATAGTTTTGTAGGGACTAAAATTCCAGCAGTTGCATTGAGTTATATGCTAGTTGACAGTGTCAGAGATTTTCAAACATGGGCCGTATGAGTAAAATAACCATGGGCCTGCATATTTCGTTTGGGCCAACAATTTTTAGTCATTCAACTAAAGATAGTCCAGAAATTATCTCCTTTTGAAATAAAATAAACGCGCAATTAGAGGTATGGAGGCAGACCCTGGAATCTAAAGGTTTTAAGTTGAGCAGGACTAAGACAAAATACTTGGAGTGTAAGCTCATGGCGAGACTCAAGGAGGGGAAGGGGAGGTGAGGCTGGACTCGCAGGTCATTCCTAGGAGGGGGAGTTTTAAATTCCTTGGGTCTATTATTCAGGGGGATGGGGAGATTGATGGAGATGTCACACATCGTATTGGGGCGAGATGGATGAAATGGAGACTCGCTTTCGGTGTTTTTTGTGACAAGAAGGTGCCACTGAAACTTAAGGGTAAGTCATACGGAGTGGTGGTCAGACCAACGATATTGTATGGGTCTGAGTGTTGGCCAGTCAAGATCGCTCATGTCCAGAAGATGAAGGTAGCAGAGATGAAGATGCTGATGGATGTGCGGGCACACCAGGTTAGATAAGATCAGAAATGAGGTTATTCGCGACAAGGTAGGTGTGGCCCCTATTGAGGATAAGATGCGGGAAGCGTGGCTTAGGT